TTTAGATTGTAAAACTCATAATATAATATGTTTAACCAAAAGTCTCTTCAAAGTAAACTTTTGTAAATTTTGAGATCATAGAGATCATAATGCATATAATAGTAAAATAGCAATAAAAATATATTCCTGTAAAATTTCGTGTCAAACGGATGTGTCTTTATTGTGGCTTAATATATGATATCATAATTTACATATAAGTACTATTGTAAACGCTATACAAATAGTTTGTGTAACTAATGATCATTTGAGAAACTCCATTATGCTTACCCCACCTTTTTTTTGACAAATTTTTTCTTTTTTCAGAACTGTACAACTTCTCAGTATTTTTTAAATCGAAAAATGTCTACAAGTATCACCACTGAATCCTCGGTAGAAGAAGTTGAAGGATATAATATGGAAACTCTTATCACTTACTTACAAAATCAACTAGTTTTAAATCTAAGTGAACAACATATTAATGTACTCCGTGAAAATGAAGTCACTGGTTATGACTTTCTAAGATGTAAACAAGAAGATTTGGAACGATATGGACTGAAACTAGGACCAGCAAAAAGAATATCAGATTTCGCCATTCAGTTAAATAGTCAAAGTAGGTTCTAAAAATAGTTTAATGTTTGTACGCCTCACGTGTTTTTCAACAGGTGTTATTTTCATAGTATTTATTACTCGTTCCTATGATTTGCCTGTTTGTTATATAATCATATAATATCAAATACTTAATCTTGTGCTTTTCTTTTCTGCTTCTTATTATCAAACTCCGCCCCAAAAAACACATTCACATTATCGTAGAACAACCTATTGCTGGTAAATGAGTCATAATAAATTTAGTCAACATGAGAGAACGCGTTTTGGCTTGATCTACCATCTAAATATTACTAATAATGTTTCGAATTTTTTCTCACATAGGTGAAAAAAAAGAAGGTAACTTTTCCTAATAGAGTATTTTAATTAGATTTAATAATATCCTAATTTCTTTGTCTTATTCACGGGAACAGAAGATCTTAAGAGGCATTTTGATGAAATCGCAGAAAGACTTGACCATAAAATAGATGGGGTGAGTCATGAAATGAAGAAAGTACAACTTCATAGTGAGGTAATGTGGTATAGTACTCCAGGTATGTCATTTTTTTCTGGTACATCCAATCTATAATTTGAACCATTATCATTTCCTACAAATGCCATTTAACATTTTTACTAGGTACAAATACAGAAACTGACAAGGATATCTTTGTAGGATCACGAGATACTGAAATTAAGTTCCCACTTAAACTGATCATGACTACCTAAAGAAGAGTATACGGAAAGTTTAAAAACCCGCCTAGCCCTGACGTCCCAGAAAAAAATTGCAAGAATATTTTATTAATGAATGCAAACCATTACAAATATCCAAAAATTTAAAACTTGTGGTTGAAGACGTACATTTTTTTCCTCTACTGGCTACTCGAAAACCGGACTTTGTATTCATTACTAAAGATAATCCTCTAGATGCATTATGTGTTGTAGCCGTTGGAGAGATAAGGAAACGATCCAGCAATCATTTTACTAATGCAGATATTTGACACGCCGTATCATTTGGTGAAAAGATCCTCCAACTCCAGCCTCAGTGAGCCTATGTATACGTGGTTTTAACAGATTGCAGACTTATTTGCATTTATAAAGTGATTAGACGCAACTCTAATAATAGTGACAATATCCGATTCTCGTATGAATATGCATTACTTGCAAATTTAAACTATGAGTCCAGTACTTACCCACCAGCTAGGTGGAAGTATCTAGTAATGATTATGGAATGTGATTCAGAAAAACTTGGATGGATTGAACCATCATTGAAATTCAACTCTTATAATGTGAAGCTTATTCGATCCATCAATACAGGCAGAACTAGCAATGTGTATGAGGGAAAACTTAATGACAAGGATTCAGTAGTTGTAAAATTGGCGAAAGAGGAAAAATATTCACCTTGTTTTGAAAGAGAAAAAGATGCGCTAATAAATTTTAATTCGCTTCATATTCCATCGCTTCTCCTGTATGATAAGAACTCCCTTATCACAACTCCTCTAGGTACGAAAGTCAAAAATTTGCAAAAGAGGGATGTCAGAAATATCATTGAAACCTTGAGGATGGTACATTCAAAAAATATCATGCATATGGATCTTCAGAGATATAACTTTATTTGTGATCATGATGAAAAAATCATTATTATTGATTGGGGATATAGTGCAATGAAAAATGAAACTGGTAATTTTGCTGGAGCATTTGAGTGTATGCCAGATGATATCTTACAATCATTGGTCAACAGTGAACAAATTTTATACTCACCAAGCATTAACCTAATATGCTTGGTAAGGTCATTTTATTTATTGCTTCACAAACTAGCAAATGTAGCAATGGAGAGAATTTCCTTTGATGAGATTCCTGACTTCAAATCACGGGCAAAGAATGTGTTGACTTTTTGATCCTCTCGTGATAAATCAGATTTATGGCAAAAAATCTATCAAATGGCGAAAGACTTGAATTATGATAGTTTAATCATAGAACTTGAAAGATTATTTTAACATTTAATGCAAAGTGAAATGGTTAAGTTGGGTAAAATTATAGCTTGACATTTGCAATTTTATTTTTCAATCTCATACGTATTGTTGCATATTTTATTATTATATATTCAGTTTGCTTGTTTATACTTTAATAAAAATCTATATATGTAAACTTATAAAATCAATTAATGAAGTTGTGTGATATGATACGTACTGACAATCAAAATCGTTTCATGCCCGTATTGTTTTTTCTGAGATATCTCAGGATATGCTTCATAAGAAATGTTTACTGTATCACAAATCATAATGACGTCGTGACCCTAGATCACAATCTATATAGCTGTTATGAAGTTTTTTGTATCTGTCTCACATATATGAATATCAATAAAGTTTTGCCTATAGTTCAAGCATTTATTTTTTACATATATATGGATGAGAGATGTGTAATATATCAGAAATAAATTTTGATCAGTAAACGCATTTTTCGAATTTTCAGGTTATCACATTCTACTGCGTCCTGATGACATAGTTTCCCAGTTCGGCAATTAGAAAAACAGTATTTTCTATCAAGCTATATTTCAAATATCAGATATATTAATAAAGCATTTATAAAAGTTTTGTACATGCATTGACAATCACTGCTAAATATATGCTTCGTAATTATTTTTCCAATCATAATACTATGCCCTAGTGACATGGTGTTCGCTTCGGCAATTAAAAAAATAAACACTACGCCATGAGTTATGTTATTTCTTTTTTTAGCTATACAGAATTTGATTAGCTGATCATCTTGTGATTTATAGAACTAGCCAGCTCCTAGAGCTATTGAGGAATTGGCAGGGAACTAGATCACATGTGATACAAATTTTAGGCGAAGGTGCTGTGTATATTGCATGTAAATATAAAATTAGCTTAGTCGAGAGATAACCTGATTCCTCTATATAAATTCCTGATATGCTTGTAATCAAATAAAAATGAATCTGATATTTATTATAGTATACTTGTTACAAACTTCTATAAATCTCTTAATTGCTAAAATTGTTACAAACTGATTATTTGATATATATAATTCTAAATATAGATTTAGATAGCCCTATAAATAATCAGTATAAGGAAAGTATACGGAAATAATACGTTTAAAAAACGTATAAAAAATGTATAAAAACAGTATAATAAATTCGTAAATATTTCCGTATACATGATACTGAAAATCGTCTTTTTCCGTATGCAAAA